CTTTAAAAACAAAAGGCCGCGACCGGTTGCAAGTTTATTTGTAGCAATGCCCGCCCCACAGAAGCTTCGCATTTCACCTTGAACTATAAAATTAGTAGTGTGCGTGTGTGTGCATGTGTGTGTGTGTGCCTGCGCGTGTCTGTGTCTGACTTTGTGACTTCTACCAACAACAGAAGTGACGTATGAATGACGCATACAAAAATAAGTGTTGCACAACCAACAAACAGCACACAGTTGTAGATGTGTGAGAGCTTATATAAGAGACACACATCTACCTATACTAAGGTAATTACACACCACCAACTGGTTAATATGCGTTGACTCTCATTCATATCTGAATGTGTAAAAGTAGGAGCAAGGATACAAAACCGAAATTTATTTTTTTTATTTTTCTACATCTATACAGAGAGGGAGAGAGAAAGAGGAAGAGTGAGAGAGAGAAAGATGAAGAGAGAGATAGGAAGGGGGAAAGAGAGAGAGAGAGAGAAAGAGGGAGAGAGAGAGTGAGAGTGAGAGAGATAGGAATGGGGAAAGATTGAGAGAGGAAAGATGAAGAATCAGGTATCAGATGTATTTATACTTTATCAATATAATTCTTTTTTGTGATTCTATGTATCAATTGTTAAATTGACTAAATACATTTTATTTACAACCCAATATTCTTATAGCAACAATCAATAATCAAAAGCATTTACTTAAGTATTGTATGTAAATGAATTTGTAAGGATAACACTGTACAACATAGTAATTATGTATACACGTGCAAGGTTGACAGACATTTCGTGCTCCCTCATAAATTAGTTATGCGAATCCTTTCTCAATTTTGTCAAATAAGACTTTAAGTTCCTTTGTCTGGCTGCAATGGAAGACAAAATTTATAAAAGTTAAGCTCTACGGCTTAATATCAGGCACTTTGCATTAATAAGCGCCCAAAGCAGTCAGTCGGGCAATCAGTTTGGGTAAGCTTAAGTATGTAAGCAGAAAGCTATGTGTATACGCAATAAATACATATGTACATGAAAAATTAACCTACGTCGCACACTTCACAAAACTTTGCCTAATTAAAAATGGCAAAAAGTCAGGCAAAGTGTGCTGGCGTTGCTCTTAAGTGGGGTCAGACAGCAGGCAACAATGACACCAATGGCACCCACACACACACACACGCACACACACACGCACGCACATGGCTATGTGACATGTCAGACAGGCCAACAGTCAGTCAGGCCGGCAACCAGGCCATAAAGCACCGTCCAAAGTTGCGCTTGAATGCCTCAACGATGGCAACAGCAGCAGCAGCACACACACACACGCATACATAGACAACAGCAATAGCAACAGCAGTAGCAACAGCAGTAGCAAAAAACAATAGCAACAGCGACAGCAACAGTCTCACCCAGGCGTTGCAAGCAACTTGTCACATTGTTTGAATCACTGAATTATGCAAATAGATATGCACACACAAGATACACACACTCTCCCCCTCTCTCTCACTCTCCCTCTGTTTACCCTGTCACTAAAAACAACAGCAAAGGCAATTTGCCAAAAGTCTTTGCTATTTAACACCACACAAAAATAATCAGAAAACATTCAGTTCGAGTGACTAAGCGACTAACTAAAACTTGCACATGTCCGAGCTAACTGACTGCAGATATGCGTGTGTGTGTGTGTGTGTGTGTCTGCATGTGTTTGACATTTGTTTTATACTCACCCGTCGTTTGTTCTTGCTGTTGTTGTTGTTGTTGCTGTTGGCAACTTCCGGTTTGTACAGCACGCCGAAGTTGCTGTCGGTTGCACCCTTGACAATACCAATACTAACAAACAGCAATAGCATTAGCCACGCCCACTACACTACGAACCGCCCTCTGCTGCCAGCAGCAACGAGCGTGTGAACTTTCATTGAAACAAGACGACTTTAAAGCAGCAGCTCGAGCGCTGCTAACTGAAATTTATTTAAATCTCGGCAATAATTGTTCTGAGCGCCTGTTGCAGCTGTCTTGCGGTGTTCTGGTAGCTGCTTTGAGTAAATATACCCTGTAACAAGTTTAATTCTAAAGAAAATTGAGAAACCTGAAAGAAAACTCAGAATTTTGAGTTAAAATATTCCAAACTCTTGGTTTGCTTGGGGTATTTGAATTTTATGTGGAGTGACTTGCTTCATAGAGCTCTGCAGCTGAGCACTGGGTATCAGCTAGTCGCGCATTGGCCATTTTCGCAAAATCTGCTTCAATTTTCTTCTTTTATTTTCTTGTTTTTTTTGCGCCTTGGGCACGCATAAAATTAGTGCCGGAAATTTATTATTCTTGAAGTTGGCTTTAATGTCAGAAGTTAACGCAGTTTGTTTATGCTCGAAGACTGCAGACAAAAGTTCGCAATTAATTAGAGACTTGGTCAGCTTAAAAGCGAATTTTAAACTATTTAAGAAGTCCGCTTGGCCGTGTCAATCCCTCAATATGCCGAACAAAGCAAGCTAATGAGTAAATCTGGAAGTTTGGCTGGAGCAGTAAATAGACAAGATTTGGGCGTATATTGAAATTGCATTAAATTATATTTATTGGTTTCATCGTTTTGTATATATGTATATATATATATAAATAAAACAGACATATTTCTTGATTGATTTGAATTTCGCTTAGTATTTAACGCTTGCAATGTTATTATTATAAGGAAATAAATAAGAAACAAATGTGCTGAAGAAATTTATTGAAATGCATCGATGCGTATTTGTTTTTATTTGAATTGATAATATGATTTAAATAAGTTCGTACTATTTATTGCACATATCCATTGGAAGCCGGCAAATGCATTCAACAAATTTAAAGTGAAAGTAATTGAATTAATTGATTGAATTAAGTTGATTACATTTAGCAGTTGCTCATTTCTTATTGTTGTTGTTGTTTTTGTTGTTGGATATTATTTAGTTTTGGCTCACTAGAATTAATGCAATTCGCTTAATACACACGTACATAAATACATACATAAATACAATCGTGATCATAGTATATAGTCAGTTTATAGAGGCGTCAATTTCAATTTTAAATGCAGCCAAAAACACAATTTCTACACGGTTTCTCAAATTTATATAATATATATTTAATATATATATGCATCTTTTTCAATTATTATTATTTGTTTTTATGTTATAAATTTTTGCTATAATAAAAAGTTATGTAAATCCAATGTTTATTTTCGTAACTCTTTGCTCTACTTTTACTCTTTGCTATTTGCTATTATGCTGCAAGCCTTTTCTTTTACGCTGTCAAAGACAAAAACCGAAAGGTAAATAAACATTTGTAATGGCAATGCAACAATTTAAATAGGTATTTCATGAAACTGTAAATTATTGCACTACTCTAATCAATGCCTGTGGACTCTGATTGAATTCAAGTTGACTTTCGGTTTGCTGCCAGTTAATTGAGTATTTTGCTGCCACTTATATACTTACATACATTTAAACATATTCTTTAATTATTCATTAATATATATATCTGCTTTACATACATATAAATGTATATATATATATATATATATATATATATATATATTTGCACGCCTGCATAAGCATTTTTGTTTTTCATTTCTCTTATGGCTTTATCGTATATTAGTTTAATATGATTTATGTGGAAATTTGTAGATCTCATTGCGGTGTGCCTGGTTGCAAGTTAAGTGTATTCAGTAAAATGTAATTTCAAATTCTTGTTCATTTCTCTTTTGGCATTCCATTGCCCAAATGCAAAATGTTGTTTCAATGTTCCATTTAGATTTATCTGTATTGTGTATGTGTGTGTGTGTGTGTGTGTCTTGTTTTCATCTGACAATCGCTAAATGAGAGTCTGATATTGCTGTATAGCTATTCTTTCAAAGCATTCCCTACATTACTTCCCAGATATGGCCAGGAATCTCTATAGATGCCAACACTTGTCCAGGCCCTTCATATGCCTGCCCCAGGCCTCTCTCTCTCTCTCTCTCACTCCCTCTCTAAACGAATTAAGCGTGGTACATATGTCTGCATACATGCATGTGTTGGTGTCTCTACAAGTGCTACGGGGGGGTCGTCAAATGATATCGTATGCAACATTTATCGATTGCAGCTAGCATGTAAAAAAAAGCAACTGAACTTTTAAATACTTTTATTTGCATTTCATATATATTTTTTCCTTTGCTATGTGCACTGAACTGTTTTTGGAAATTTCCAGATTCTTCACATAGCTGCTTGCTTTCTTTTAACTTGTTCTTTTTTAAAACCTATCACATAAATGTATGTTTGTTTTTTGGGCGGAATTTTTAGCGTGTGTTTTTTTTTTCATTTTACTCTTATTTTGTTTTTTTTCTTGGTTTTGTGATAGGATAGAAGAAAACGCAGAGAGGGCAATAAAAGTGTTCAATGTATACATAAATCTCTTTAAAAGCTAAAAGACGGATTCGCGTGCTATAACAGAAGCTATGGTATTCAATTACCGCAAAACTTTGCCTAACCGAGTTAGTGTAAGTGTGTGTGTGTGTGTGTGTGTAAAGTGTTTGCTGTGCCATTTAGCTAGCTGTGTGTTGGGTAACCTTATACGTATAAGCTAATTATAGCATCTCTATAATGCCAATTTTGCGTGCTATGCGCCCAGAACTATGCCACAATTTCCCCGGCCAGTGAGCAAATCAAACGATGACACTGGAGCTCAGTTGTTTCAAAACTTTCAGTTGTTTTGCTGTCTTTGTGTATGTTTACTTATTTTGGGTATTTGTTGTTGTTGTTTTGCGACTGTTGAATTTGCTGCTAAGTATACGCTGCTATAAGTATTTGTAGTTCTATTTGAAAACTCTTACTTGGCTACTGCACATTTATGTATTGTTTTTCTTTTTCTTTTTTTTTTCGATTCACGCTTTCAACATTTGCGTTAAGTTTTTGTTTTTGTTATTTATGTTTTCTTTTATTATAATTTTGGTTTTTATTTGTAGTCATTATAATAATTTTAATTTTGTTTTTTCTTTTTTGTTTGTTTTTTGGTTTCTTTTTTTCAAGCTTACGCAGTAATGCTCGCTGATTGGATTCGACGACTCGGGGCAGTTATTGCCCATGGACATCAATACTACATATAAGCCAATACGTTGCGTGGCCGCGGCGCTTAGAAGACCAGCATTTGATCGGCGCTGCCCTCCACGCTGTCCTCGTCGTCGGCGCCCTCGTCCTCGTCGTCGGATGTTAGCGAGGCGGCGTTATTTACCACGGACTCTGCGCAAATGGAAAGTGAAATTAAATTTCTGCCCTGCCCAAATGTATGCCCGGCTTGGCCATGGCCCCAAATTAGTTTGTTCATTGAACGTGCGGCGGGAGGGTTTGCCTGCCAGCGTGCTAGCCTGCCGTAATAAACATAAACATAAATCTTAAATGGATATTACAATGGGTCTCGGCAGATTTAGCACTAATCTGGCTTAGCTCCGCGTGCATATTGAATGTGGCTCGCGGCACTCTCTCATAACCAATTGGAATTTGTTTAGCACGCCCATCGTACAAGCAGCAAACAAACCTCCGACAGTGGCACACATGGCGTATGAGTGATAAAGAAAGCTAAGCTTAATTATGTTGCATATGGATTGGGCGCTAGATATTTGTATGTACGTTGCAAAAATAATTCGAGTTTAAGCTTAAGGTATTAACGAGCGGACCTAACTTGTCACAGAATAAAAAGAGCTTAGCAGGATAAAACTTTTCAGTTTGTCAGTTTACAGCTGCCGCCTGGCTGATATGCCACATGTGTCCTTGTATCTATAGAGCTGACCGATAATAGCACGCAAATATTTTATTTAATAATGAATACTTTTTTTTTTTTTTTGGCTATTTTATCAGTAGAGAAAATTGAGAGATACTTGAGATACTTGTACTTTTACGGTAAATTATATATCTTATGGTACAAGGCGGCCATTTAATATCATATTCAAAGAGCGATGTCAACAAATCTACTTGATCCAAATAAAATGATTATTATTACAAATTTTGATTTGATTTAATTTCTTTGTTCAAAAAAAAAAAAAAAATCAAAAAAATAAAAAAAAAAAAATAAAATAAGTCCGTCGAATATCTACAACCTTGTATATATCCTTATCCCTCTGTAGGCAGTGCATTTTCCTATAAGTTTATTTTAATCTCAATATATATCTAACTTTTAAATGTATAACTAAATGAATATTTTACCAGATTAATTGTAACAGCTTTCAAAAGGATTAATAAAATATTTACAGAAATCTTTCATAAACTTTAAAAAGAACTCACATAGTTTTAACTGTAAATAATATACTCATTCGGTAATAAATATTCTCCTACAGCTATTGCCTTTACACTCACTGATATTTATAAGTAGCAGACTCTATTATCAATAGTCATAGCAATTGAATCATTGTCGCAATTATAATAGATGCTTGATTTATGCACTACTCATAGTTTTATATTCTGTATTTCCTATAGCCAACAGAACAATCCCCGATATCTGAAGGCAACAGTTACAGCTATCACTGTGAATAAATTTTAAGCCCATTGAATCCATTTGAATCAGTAATAAAATTAATTCAGATGCGAAGGCTAATAGGGATATGTTCGCAAATTGAAGCATGGTCAACACGTATCCATAGATACATATGTAGGTGTATGTATATGCACATGCACATGTGTATGTGTGCAATACCACAATGTAGCGTGTCAGGTGTTTGTTGATGCATACTCACCGCAGTTGGGCTTGCCACGTGTACGGGTGTTGGCGAATTCGACGCCGTGCTTGTCCACACACCAACAGACGCCGACCGAGTTGTGGCACTGAGTGGGCTTGTAGAATCCTTGAACGTCGCAGTCAGGTGCGTAGGCGCCTAATTAGGTTGCAGCAGCAACAACAACGACAGCAACAGTAACAACAACAGCAACAGCGAGTGGAAGAACAATAAAAATGCGCAATTTTAGTAAGCCTTTGTAATTGTCAGAGGTAAATGGGAAAGCGGCGCAAGCGAAATTCTTTGTATTTTATTGTAATAATTTGTTTTGTTTTGCTTGGTTTTTGTGTGTTTGGTACTTTTTGGGGCCGTGTGGGAATACGAAGAAAAGAACAGAACAGAAGGGAACAGAAGAGAACAGAGTAGAACAGAACAGAAAATAAAATGAAGGGAAATTATACAGTTAAAGTTTATAATGGGCCAGCAACAACACTGGCGCTAGGCAAAAGGTAAAAGTTTCGTGTTGTTAGAAGTGTTTAATTTGCTGGCTTAAAAGTTGCGTTTGGCTAAAAGGTAAAAGATAAACGAGAGCGGCAAAGCGAGAGCGCATGGAGAACAATTACAAAAAGAGGTGTCCTTTTTAACTGTTGCTGTGGCTACTTATATATGTGTGTGTGTGTGTGTGTGTGTGGTATTGGGTTGTCTGTGACTGTGTGTGTGTGTGTGTGGGTGTATGTATTACATTCAGGCGCTTAATTATAGCTTAAAATAGGTTAAACATAGTGTAAAAAGTGTTTGAAAAGCGGCATAAACATAACAAAGCGCACACAGCGAGAGGCAAAAGAGAATCGTAAACAGATAGAGAGTGAAAGAAAGTTTCGAGTGTGGGATGGGGCCAGAAACGGATAAGGTAACACCCAGATAACTGTTCTAGCTACCCGCTTCTCGAGATTTGTGTTCAACATTTGCTGTTGTTGTGTTTGCGTTTGCGTTTGCGTTTTACGGCTATTCCACAATAAACAAGTAAGAAAGCTCTAGTCGAGACTGCTCGACTACGAGATCCCCTGAACCCTACAAGCAACTGATATTT